AAGGCATCTAGCTTAAATAATTAAAGTGGGAATATGATAGGCCAACAAATCAGGAAGTCTCATGAGAACAGGCAAGCATTAGAGACTTCTGAGGTTAAGTCAGCTAGAAGTTGGTTATTACATGACTTGAGAGTCAGCCAGCAATCACCAAGTGCTTACTTCAAAAGCAAGCAGAGCCCATTCTCCTCCTCACCCAGGAAAGTGAGCAGGAGACTGCAAAGGACAGGCAGTGTCCTGCTTGAGAGGCTCTGGGGCACCGAGGAGCTGTGGTGAAGAAAGGAGAGTACCGCACTGAACAGAGCTCTTGGGGGCAACATGGACTTCACACTGAGGTTGTCACCTATACAGATTTACAGCAGTAAGTATTGAGGAAACTGGACTTGAGAAGCCTTACTTTCTGGCTGCACTGATTTGCAGTCATCTTAATCGCTTTCTCCACCAGCCTCTTGTCAATAACCATTTCCAGGTACATCTCCACAAATCATGTACTAAGCTCACACCAGAAGTTAACTAAAATCTTGCCACAAGCCTCTGAACAGATGGCAGCATATTAGGATGACAAGACCAGAAAACATTCTCTGCTCACTGTTAACAGCACTGTGCAATGAACAGAACATATTAAATGTAGATTTTAAATGGTCATCTCCCATGGCAAGCTTGTAAAAACTAAAAATACAGCCTGATATAGCAAGAAAACTTATTATTTTAATTCTCTAAGTTTCATCATACATTCACACTGCAAGGTAGGACAGAATCAGAATAAAAAAACCAAGCATCCAATACATCAGTCCAGAGCACAAATCAAGGTTTAAAGCCTGTATTAATCTGGACAGCAGGCTTACGTGCCTTTGTGGTAATGAAAACTATGTAAATCACCCTGTTAAAAATTCCATAGTGAAACCCTACCTTTATAGTACCATTCAGAACAAGCCCCACTTTGGGAAGGCACTGGGATGCACCTGAATCATCTGAACTACAAAACAAAGGTTTACTCTCTTAAAATGAAAACATTCTATTCCAAAGATGAAGCAAATCAGATGAATCTGACAAACAGATTCTAAGAAGCTGATGGACTTCTACACTCTGCTTTACCAGAGTTACAGATGACAGAAATAAGTATTCAATATATTGTTATTCTAGATTTAAGTTTCACATAATTTGCAAAGAGTGAAATATGACATGCTGTTAGTGACTAAATAGACACTGATTTGAGGGCAGGGAGAAAGACGAGGGAGAAGGAGATAGACCTAGAAATATTTTCTGTTCTAGAGTCACTTACTCAGGCTGGTATTTTTCAGCTTCATTTCCTGTTTTGATTCCCCTTACTACCCTATTTTGGGTCTTTTATGACTAGGAGTACCAAACTGAAATGCAGTTTAGATAGCATTAAGGCTATGGGTATTTTAGGGATACTCATTTTTATTTGATCAAGCCAAAACTTAAAAAAAAAAAATTCAAATGACATGTCAGACAAAAAAAGTAGAGTAAGAGAAAATTAGGAACCTTTCTCTCTCCATTTAATTTACAGAGTTTAAATTAGGCATTGATCTTAAGTAGCAGAAATAGTTCTCTCTTATGCGGCATGTTGCTCCCTCTGAAAAAAAAACTAAACACACATATTTTTGCACCAACTTTAAGATTGTAATTGAAGCTCTGTTTGGCTAATTTTACTGTTTACTCAAAACTTCACGTAAAGTACACAAGCAACAAAGAAAAATGCACCTCGTGAATACTAGAAAGTACGAGGAATTCTTACTGTCCTATAATTGTTTGCCTCTTTCCTTTACAATGGACTAAAGGTTCAACAGAAGAAATACTAAGTTCTCCTTAACTTACACTCAGGAACATTCTTGTGATATTCAAAGGCTTTCAAATCATGGACTTCAGTGTAGTTAGCTTTGTTTGTTTTAAAACAACAAGTCAGCTTGTTTCAAATTCAGGTAAATGATTATTTCTTTTGTGGGTTTCTTAACCAAACATTCAATATCCTTTGGCAAGACAGCTACAATAATGTTAAAAGTCACTGTGCTTGCAGTTTTTCAGTACTCAGAAGCCAGAAAATGACAACTCCAAAATTGAGTAGGACCTTAATTCCAACTATCCACATTTTAGAGTAATAAAAAAAAACATTTTCCAACCACCTGATCATACAAGTTTCTTGTATCTTGTTACATGCATAGGTTAGAGAGCTCACAAGTGAGATCCCAAAAACATACCAATTACTAAGAACATGCAACAACAGAAAGTGAGTATTTACTAGTGTATGTTAGCTGCCAATTTCAGCTACCTCACTATGGCTATACTTCTAGAAAAACTATAGTGGGAGAAGGCATTTATAGTATATAAGAAGTTATTTAGAAAACAGAAAGTGTACAAACTTGCTGACGCTGAAGGGAGAAGTGGTGTGCACTGCACAGAACTGGGGCATAATCACTACCAAGCAGGAGTTGATACGTTGTAGCTACAGCTGCCTCACCCAGACAGGGCAAATTGAATGCAGTGCTTATAATAGGGAAAGTACTACCTCAGCAGTACTCCCCAGAGTACAAGTTTACAAGACCCTATTGTTTAATGCACAGACTCAGCACTGCTGGTGCTTCTGACATTATGTGGTCCTAATTTCCTATTACTATTGCTCCACCCTACCATGAGTCATCTCTTTTTGGCCAGCTGGTACTACTTTCAAATTATTGGCAAGCTCAGAAGAAATAACTGTAGCTCCGTACTACAACAATCACTGCTAGTGCCACTTGTGCAGAAGCATTTGACACACCATGTAGATTTCTTGAAAATATGATGCAAGCAAAGAAGCTTTAGCAGTAGCATCAACAACCAGACCCTTAATGCTTTGCTGGAAGGACACAGAGGGGAAAAAACAACCCCTCCCCCCAAACCAAACAACAAGGCAGCTGCTTTTAGATGAACTGATCATCTCAATGTTTAATGCAACATAACTTCTGAGCCATAGAAATATTTACCATACATTAGAAGATCAGGGCAAGGGTCAAATAAAGGTGGTCAAGGGCATTAGAGGCTGAGAAAGATTCAGATAAAACTTATTAAAAAAAAACAACTAAGTATGGAAGTTGCTACATATAAAACCAAAACTGTGCTGCTTAATATGGGCAGGTTTGTGCTTTGACTTGCCAGGAAAAGACTAAAAATGAAAAAGAGCAATCACTTAGTCCTGTTCTAGCTATCAACAGGAATCATGGCAGAGATGAGTTTTAAAAATGTATTTGCAGAAACAGCTTTGCACACTGGAGGGATACGTCCCATAAAAGCTAAAGCAAGCCGTGTGAAAGAGTTCAGAAGAAAAAGCCGAGTTTCAAAACGTTACCTATCAGGCAGCAACAGAGGCTGTGTTGTGTTGCTGTGTTGCCTTGCTCAGGCAGAAAATCTACTGAGCATGAATTCTGATATGAAGACCACACAAAGGCCATATATTACTGAAGTAAGATAGTCCTATAAAAAAAATCCTCCTCTTTTAATTAAAAACTTAGATTTTTTTTTTTTTGGTCCTAAGAGTATCCCATGCATGTTTAGGTTAAATCAAGCAAAAATTAGAATTCAAAAGAAATACAAAATATTAGAATATGCAACTCAAAGAATATTTTACCAACTTCTTTAAATGAACAGCTTTTATGGGTCTGTTCTAATTCAAAATAAAGTTAGTTGAGAAAACAAGGAAAGTTTGGTTAATGTTTTTTCCTATTTGGGTCCAAAATACAGAATAGATTTATCTGTGCTTATCAGTATTTAGTATTTGTCTGTATACAGTAGCACAACTCCTTCTAGTTAAGCTACCTATGGACATTCCACTTTAGACTTGTTTTGAATCAAGTTTTAATTTATCAAGATCAGTTTAATCCATGAATCGCCTCAAACTCAGGGCACATGAGACAGCGCAGGACTAACCACCACATCGAGTCTCTCCCCACTGTGTAGTCCCAAGAGTTCTCAGAGGACTCTTACACAATGATCTATGGTGACAACTGATAAAATAATTAACTAAGGATCTAAAGCCATTCCTCCACCTGGAGCCTGTCACTGCACACACTGTATCCTGTCCTGAGACAGGATACTAGGCTAAATGGATCTTTAATCTGATCAGCAATACCATCCCCACATTCAGTATCATTCAGTTTAGAAACAAGTGTTACTAACAAGTGTTACATTGTAGTAACACTGCCTAAGCTGAGAAGGGCAAAACAAAGCAGGTATCAAGGTCTGCAAATCCTTGAGCAGGTCCTCCCTAATGGCTGGCAACCTGACCGAGGGGACTCTGAGCTCAATGGTCCAGAGGCTCTTTCAGAGCACTCCTGTCCTGAGAGACATTCTGGGTAAGAGCTTCCGAGATCCACCCCAGAGTCACGCTGAAAGAACACAGAGAAAAACAGTGAAGGATGGGGGGAAAAGGCTCCACAGAAGAATATCAAAGTCCATGATATACTCTAGCAGGAAGAGATCCTACAAAGGCTAGAAACAAGCTCTGGGAGAAAGACAGAGCTTCTGATATGCCAGAAATCTTAACAACAACACATCTGACAGGCAGGCAGGATCTATAAAGATAGAAAGCATAGATTTTGATGCAAGAACTATTGCAGGATAGAGGATAATAAATCTTAATCTCCATGTTCTGTAGGTACCTAATTTTCCCAAAATTAATGGTGATTCCAGTTCTGTGGCACCCTACAGATCTTCTGATACTATGTTTTAAACGACAATCAACACCAATGATGACAAGATTATAAATCACTTAATTAGCTCAAGTTCTATTACAGTTGGCACGATGCTTTCCTACCATGGATAGTGTGGACAACGTTTGCTGATGCCAGCTTTTGCAAAGACATCTGAAAACGCACAGGCTATATACTTTAACGGTATTATCACTGCCTCCCAAGCCAGATGACAAGTTCTCTTTAACACTGCAGTAAAAGAGATTTAAAACATTTGGTTGGAGGATATGTGAAGGCATCTGTCTACAGATACTTACCCACCTTAGGGGATTTCCTCCAAAAATCATTTCCCAAAGACATTTTGGTTGGCATCCTTAAACCACCACCTGAACTCTCAAACTGGATAGCAAGCTCGAGAAGGATAATTCTTGATCACACTGGTAGATAAGCCTGAAAGAAGATGGATTCACAAGCCTGCATCTGATGCACACTACCCGGAGAGGATGAAAAGAGAAGCTGGCTGGAAGAAACCATAGAAAAGTTCCAAGAATTAGCTATTTTATACAAGTACAGATTAATGACTACAATATCAAGAAAAGAATAAACCTAGGAAAAGAGAAGTTCAGCTCTGCCCCTTGATATGAAACCAAACATTCTGGAAAAGAATTGGAGTGCCAACCCTAACCATTTATTGTACTGCTGGTATGAGGTACAATTGTTCTTTAGGCCAGTGCAGACCAGCCAGGCACTGAGAGCTTTAAAAAAAAAAAAAAAAAAAGCCAACTCTGATCCTGATTGCATTTAAAGAAAAGCTTTAGACAGACAAGCACTTACAAGCTCTTTTCAGAGCTCAGTGTATGCCACATAGGTTGGAAGGAGAAAACTAATCAACACTCAACTTCCAGGAGATGAAATGTGAAATTGTTATTATAAGGGCTGTACCCAGGAACAGTAAAGTTGAAAGATTAGCACATTGTCAGAACAGAAAAAGTAATGAAGTGGATCTATCCATTAACTTGTGGGGATTTTCTTTTTTTTTTTAAGAAAAAAAATTCTGACCCTTGTGACTGTGCAAATGAAGAGTACGCAAACCAACACTGCCTTCTTACATCTACAGACAGAGACAACCTACTGCTGCCATAGCTTTTTATAAACAACAACAGCTTGAAGCTGTTACATCTGTGGCTAGTTTCACTTACACTACGCTGAGTTCTGGCAACACTGCACTAACAAAAACAGTTTTTTGTCAGTTGAGTTAGAATTAAAGCTGTTGCTTTCAAATACTGGTGGTGACTTCCTTATCTATTAACTTTAACTAATGTGTTATAGGGCTCAAAGCATTTGCTAAGTTCCAGAGGTTTTGCAGTTGTAACAAAGTGAAAAATTCCTATTCAGAACACTATGGGCAGCAAAAGGAAATGACAAAAACTAATTAATTTCATCTGTAACTTCCTGAAAAGATAAAGTAATATGAAGGAAAAGTGTAACTATTTATCCCAAAGTACTGAATGACAAGCAGAAGATTTTCCAGTAAAGAGGAGCCGTCTCAAAGGAATTTAGATATGGAAATTGGGAAAGAGGAAGAAAAAAAAAAAAAACAACTTTCCTTGTAGCTGATAGAATGTTCTAGAAGATAAAGAGGAGGGAGTGGGAGAGAAGGAAAAACATCTGTCTTTGGTGAAGGAAGAGATGATATACCAGATTAAGGTACCAAGCCAAAGGCTGGTAAGAGATAAAGCCATGGACTAATGTTGCAGTATAGGACACTGGTAGGACTTTCAACAAGATACTAACAATGGAAAACAAAAATTTCTAATACATCCTCTGTATTCTCTTAAGGGTTTTAAGTCAAATCCTGATATCAAAAAAAAAAAGTGGACACCCATGTACAAGTTTTCCTGTCCTAGTCTTTGCCTGGATTCAATTCAGCTGAGGGGATAAAGACACAGAAGATGATTTACTAACGTAAGATACCGACCATATCACCAAAGCCTTATTTATGCCTTCCTTTTCCCCTCCCCCCCCCCCCCCCCCTCTCTTTTTTTTTTTTTTTGAAGTATGAAATGTTGTTACTCTTCTGCTGGAGTTATATATTGAACAGACACAGCTGCAGTAGTTTGGGCTGGTCTTGCTCTTTTCTTCTAACCTTTTTCCTATTCTCTTAGTCTCCCCAAAAACCAGTAGTGAACCTTTGAACTGTAACTTGAAGCAAGAAAGGCAGAATAGGTCTATGCTCTTTACACTTGAACCAAGGCTTTTAATCTTAAAGAGAAATAAAATGGTATCAATTATCATCTTTGCATTAAGTGAAGAATTAGTGACATTCCACTAGAGAAGTAAGATTTACTTTTTAAATAAGCCTTTTGAATTCTTATCCTTACTCGAAGCCTCATTGCTGCACTGATACACACTTCCATTTGTTTTATTTCCCCACGACAATAAATGCAGTGCAAGCACAAATAAACTATGCCTTTATTACTTTATTTTCTGTAACTTATTTTGGGCTACTAGAGTAAAAACACAAAACTGTTAATACACATCAGTACTCTACCATAGCATGCCATGTGCTCTTTGAAATATTTTTTCTGGCCATAGATAAACATTCCTTATACCAACTATACCATGATAAACAGCTTTTCAAATTTCTTCCCGCACATCGACAACAAGGGAAAAGGAGGGACCATAAATGCTTCGTTTAACCCTGCAGTACAGCCAGGTATGAGCCAGTAACAGCTCCAAAGTAACGCTCAGCGAAAATGAAAGCAGTAACATCAAGTCAGCTCTTCTCTAAACCTACCTGTTGATGTCATTGCTGAGGTTTACCCTCGAGTTCTCTGTTTTCGGTCTCAACTCCTATTTGCGCTCAATAGTCCAAAGTAACGCTCAGCGAAAATGAAAGCAGTAACATCAAGTCAGCTCTTCTCTAAACCTACCTGTTGATGTCATTGCTGAGGTTTACCCTCGAGTTCTCTGTTTTCGGTCTCAACTCCTATTTGCGCTCAATAGCGGTTTCCAAAATGCAAAATAAGCTCTGCGTGGGTGCCTCCGCTTCCCGAGGGCCCTGCCCGGGGGGGGGCGCCC